TGGCTTTGTTTTTAGGTTTTGGAATTTTGTTTAATAACTCTAGCGTTTTGCAATTGATTTCTGCGTTCTGGTTTTTAGCCGTTTTTCCGCGATGCGATTTTGCTGATAGTTTAACGAAACTTGGATTCGTAGAACGTGGTTGTGTTTGAGTGTGATACGTAGCGTTCTCGGCGTTGATTTTTAGTGATTGGTAATCTCCTTTCCATGACGCTTGATGTCTGACTTGCCTTATGCTATGATCTAATCTATGTTCTAATAGCAACGCTATTATTATTGCCTGTTCGCTCCACGTATCTGCAGTTTTTTATTGATTTAATTTATATATCTTTTGCTTTCATTGCCCTATGAAATATTATGTAAACCATTAGAAGTCTACATTAGAAATTTCTTAGATATTATTATAATCTTATGTTATTAGCATTCACGTGTGAATCGTTAGCATTTCTTATTGAATCAACATTGTGCTTATTCGCTTTTCGGCTTCGGTTCTTTCTGATTTAGCGGATTAATTTTACCTGGCCATAAGTCGCAGTCGACATATTTTCCTTACGAAACGCTTGCATTTTCAACAAGCGGCAATTGTTGTAGTTAATCCTACTGTTTTTCACGCGTTTCCGCCAATGACGATCGCATGTTAGCACGGCATCTTTTTAACACGGATAGTGGCAAATTGTGAAGGTTCAGCGATCTTTGTGCCTAAGTGCGCTGTGCTGCGCGGCTTTACATATTTGATATTACGGTATTAACAGGAGTAATGATATATTGGAGGACTGTCATATATATATAACTATTACTATTTCGTTATTGGCATGATCCCATTTTTCTGCGCTATCATGCGCGTATTTTCATACGCGCGATATGACACGGCCTTATTATCAGCAATTGACGCTGGTGCTTAGCGAGTGGCTTAGCATATTTATCTACGCGGCGTTAGCTAATGGTATTGGATTTCCTTAAGCCGTATTATCAATACTTAAGCACTATTATCTACGGCGTTTAGCTAATTGTAGCATATATTCTACGGAGCGTTAGCAATAGTATTGGATTTCTAAGGTATTGATTCAATTACTAAGAATATATCTACGGACGTTAGCCAATGCGTTTATCATATATCTTTACGGGCTCTCGGGCGTTAGCAATAGTAGGATTCCTACGGTATTATCAATACTAAGATATATCTACGGACGTTAGTAATGGTAGCATATATTTACGGGTGAGAAATGGTAGCATATATCTACGAGTGTTAGCAATGGTAGCATATATCTACGAGTGTTAGCAATGGTAGCATATATCTACGGGCGTTAGCAATGGTAGCATATATCTACGGGCGTTAGCAATGGTAGCATATATCTATCCAACGGTATTGGCATCTTCAGCACGATTAAGCGGCATCTTCACACGTGAAGATATACAACCTGAGTGACGCGTTTAGACAATGAAAACCGAGACGAAAAACTCAAATACGGTCGGTTTACTAGAATCTGAATTATCTGAGACACTTTAGCAGAGGATGCAAGCACACGCAGCCCGCGATAGGGAATCGAAAGCGATCCAAGTTGGTTGAGAGAGAAGTGGCAGAAGTTGGAACAGAATCAACACTCCGACAAAATTACCCGCTAGTTTTTGTTCAGTGATGCATGAGCTAGGGGCAGTGATTACACACTGGCTATGCTATTATTAGCGAGATTATTTATTCTTGATGGTTATTACCACGCTGCAATTTATAATCAGGGTTCACCGCAATTCGCTCTACTAGTTTAACAGGGCGAAGAGTTAGGTGTGAGCGCAGCAGTATCGCCTCAACACATTCACACGCTGTTTCTGTTTTTTCTCACAGGTTGGTGAAATCAACATCGCAATGTTACCGCTCGGAATTGTGCTGATATGCATGGTAAGTTCCACGTTACCTACCTTGTTCCGACACCCTTACTTACATATTGCAAATCTGGGTGCGAATGTAGCTCCGTACTCTTGTAGTATACCGTGATGGCGCCACTGTGAGAATTGTGACAATAGTTTCTATACATATATATCAAGAGCTAATAATACCTAGGTATTAAATTAATTAATTAATTAATTTAATATGGCTATATTTAGCTTCTTGCATAGTATATATATACTATATTATCAGAAGTAGATAATAGGGCTTCCCTATATCTATCTTCTGATATATTATATTATATATATCGCTGAATATTGGCCAAATTTTACATGGCGGGAATGCGTTTAAATAAAACGGAAACCGGTAACAAACAATCTATTATTTTTCTCTTACATTATCATGTAATATCTATATATGCTTTGCTGAGCCTTTGTGTACATTTGCTATGAGTGTGTACTCTTTCATTCTCGCGAACTGTGAAACTGTGGATGACATTAATTAACATCTACTTACTGCCTGATGGCGTTTGCGGGCTGTGCTGCCCCTTTGCATCCTAAATTGAACCCAGGTTGTCTTCTTTCAATGTTTTATTTCGTATTGTTTTGTGCCGTCAGACTGTCGGGGCATTGGCAGAGGGTTACGGATTCTAATGCCGGCCCTAGTACTATGGTTACCTGCCACAAACGATTACAACGACGACGCTATTCTTCCGTACGTCTACTTCCATAACTGACAACCATTTCCCTACGCAGAGTTACCTGTACGGTCTACCTACACCGACCACTACGTCTTCCACACCCCAACCCAAACCGTGCACCGGGACTACAATCTGCCAAACCAATAACATAAGGGCAGTGGAGACGTTACGGCTCCAGCGCCAGCTCTGGCACAAACATGGCAGTGAAGCGGCGGCGGCTTACGCAAGCAGCAGCGGCGCGGAAGCGGATACGGAAGGCAGCAGCGGCGATACCGGAAGCCAGCAGCCAACGGTTACGGAAGCGCAGCAGCGGCGGACGAGTGGATACGGAATGCAGCAGCGGTCGGTTACGGAAGCAGGCAGCACGCGGAAATCGTCACGGCAGGCAGCAGCGGGGCGGCAGTGGGGTACGGTAGTCGGCAGCCAGCGGAAGCGGATACGGAAAGCAACAGCGGTGGAATGTCGAGTACCGCGAAAGCAGCAACTCTGCGCGGTGGACGTGATACGGTAGTCGCTACAAAACAGAACACGGTGGGTCAAGACGTGGGCGTAGCAACGGATCACGGTGGGTGCTAGCAGCCAGCGGGTGGATACGCGTGGGGATTT